GACGCACCTCTATCGACGAACGCACCTCTATCTTCGAATGGCACGATGCACCTCTACCTTCAAACGGCACAACGCACCTCCATCGATCGCTCGACGAACGCACCTCTATCCTTGAACGATACCGTTACCACTGCTACCGCTACTATCCAGCCAACACCAACCCAACAATCATCTAAGAGCGCATAATGGGGTCTCGCGAAAACAGCGAGGTCTGGAAGGTACCGAACGACATGCGTCCCTAGGCGATGGTGACGTCATTGCTCCCGTATTTGGATGGTATCTCTCTCTTTTGTGCCGTTCGAGGGTAGAGGTGCGTCGTGCCATTCGAGGATAGAGGTGCATTCGTCGAGCGATCGATCGTTAGAGGTGCGTCATGCCGTTCGATCGATAGAGGTGCCTCGATCGGTGTAGCAGATCGGTGGCAGTGGTATCGGTATCAGTGGTAGCAGTAGTGGTGGTTGCATAGAAGGATGATGTTATAAGATACTAAAGGTAGCGAGATGTAATACGAATGATGTTATAAGATTATGAGGAAAGGCTACTTTGTTGTCTATGGATATCTGTAGATGAGTGGAGGCTAGATTCCGGTTGACGGTGGACGGTCAGACGGCCGGAATCAGCAGAGTCGAGTCTTTCGAATTGTTTCCAGTTTCCTCGGAAGAAGCGAGCGCTGCTGGCTGCATTTGCAGACACTCGTGTGAGAGCTGGGGTATCTGGCAGTAGTAAAGCGGAGAATCCACGATGCCTCGAGCTTCAATAAGCAAAAATCAGCCAGCTTGCTTTCAGGCAGGGTGCGTGGTACGGTACGAAGGAAGTCCGGGAGTATGAAGGAAATCCATTTAGCACTGTCAACTGTCAAAATTGGTTGCTTGACCAGTGGCCGAAATCCCACTGTGTCCAATGTCCAATGCACTTCTTGGGCAAGAACGAAATACCCCCAGCGGAGTAACGCTGGTTCCAACAACCAGCCCCAAGTTCACAGGGTGGTAGTATGGATCAGGAATCAGGAGAGACTGCTGCCTCAAGTAAACTGGTTCAAAGAAACGAGTCGGGTACCAAAGCAAGCCTCTTTCGCTCCCTCCCTAATAATATGTGGGTTGCTACCAGCTAGAGGGGAAAAGATAGATGTGGCCAGTAGCCAGCTGAAGATCTCTCGCAGTCCAGCTAGCTGGGCGTTTTAGTTGATTGATCATTCATTCTCTAGCTAGCTAGCATTCTTCCAATTTATACCTTGACAAGTCTAACCCGGAATGACTGGTTTAGAGGTCAAATCAAAACATAGTCCCCAAGCAAATCGAGTCAACTTTAAGCATGTCAGTCCTGCTGAAAACTCTACATCTGGTTCAGAGGCATGTTGGAGCGGAATCGAACGGTTGGATGAATTCTGGGACACTCTCCGTGCAAAGATCTCCTCACATGCAATATCTTGCCCATGCGCTGATCAACAAAACAGACGTGGCCCTCAGTCTGGCTAGGAGTGATCTACATAGAACTGGTCGTCCATGATTCCTGTCACTCGCAAGGCTGCACTCCACAGTTCTGTTGCTTGTTCTTGTGTGGGCAACGGTCCCGAAGTTCGGTAAGTTCCAGGCCCAGTTTTCCAAAACGCAGGATCATAATCTGGTGGTTCCTCGTTTAGCATGGTGGCATAGAGAACACAAACTTGTAGCCATGTTCCCAAGGGGGTAGGATGAACACCATCTGCCATGTAAAGCTGTTCCCATAGTTCTACATTTTTGGACTTGACTTCTGCATAGGCCTCTCCCACTGGTGAGACTCTTGCTTCCTTGGGTCTCCTGGTTCCAATGCTAGTATCAGATTGCCGTCGTTTTTGAAAGCACTCTGTGACCTCGTTCGCATAATCATGATATCCATCATGCAATAATTTTGTGAATTGTTCAAAAGTGCCAAATTCAGTTTTGGTATGTTGATAAGCAGCTGTCTGCAAGAAGATAGGTGTTGCCCCAGTATCCCAAGACTGTTGGGCAAATTTTCTCTTTAGAAGAACATTGGTGGTCATTTGCTCCATTGGTGTGGCAGGAGCTTTGGTTTGATCATTGAGAACGACATAATCCCAGCTCTGTGTCGTGTTGTCAAAGAGTTTGTCCATTGTCAGATCTTGGTGTGACTGGGTAAGTCCAGGGTCGCATCCACCCATGTCCGAATGAATAATGTTCAGATACATGCCTGGTTTCATACAAGATTCATACATAACATGGTACTTTCCGGAAGCTTCAATCAATCTTGCCAGTAAACCAGGAGAATCATTGACAAAGAGAATACTGTTGCCCACAAAGGCAATCCTCAGTGATTCCTTGGGCTTGGATTTGTCACGTCGGAAAGTCTTCCGTGTCTTTGCATTGGTGCCACCACCCAGAAGGATGGAATGAAAATTTGTAGCAAAAGAGAAAATGCCCAATAGTCCCCCAATTATCAAGCATCGTTCCAGTAGTGAACTCTGCCCCGATGAGCCACTCTTGCTGTATGGATTCCTTGGCATTATTTTACTTTATGAACGGATGACGTTGTGCGAATCTGTGCACACCTGCCATGAAACTAGCGAAACGGATCTTAATCTTGGCTGCCTTTGCTGCTACTTCCTTTTAGTCATCGCCTCCTCTAAAACTGTTGTTCAGGGTGAGCTCGATGGGTTGAGGGATGGAAGGTTCCGAGGTGTGTTCTTGACTCTGGTGTCACACTGTCGCAGGAAGTTAGAAGGGGAGATCTTCGTGTATCCTCAACTCTACTGCACGTACCACATCGACCAAAGTTGTCCTGCCATGCATCAACACAAACTTCCCCTGGCTGCAGGAGGATCTGGCTAGCTAGGCAAGGCAATGTCTATCGGAAAGTCTCTGGTTATTCTATCATGATTCTCGGATCGATGCGGAAGTTACTAAGGCCAGCCAGCGGCCAGTGGTATCGTGCAGGCTGAATTGTCCTTTGCAGTAGGAGTCCAACCTTTAACCAGTGATGCCTGCGATGTGATAATACACGACCGGGCGCCCTTGTTCAAACTCCCATTGAATCCTGTACTTGTCAACCCAATAGAAGAAGGTGTACGGGAAAGGGTCCAACGGCACTGGTGCATCTTGAGTGACGAAGCGTCCCTGATGGTTCATTGCCTTCAGCTGATGATAAGTCTTCACTGCGTCTTGCAACTCTACTGCAATATGCCGGACACCACCAACATCATTGGTTTCAAAGTAGGGCAACTGTAGATTGCCTTGGAAAGGAGAATAGTAGTAAAACAGCCCCAAATAGAGATTCAGGACTTCATGTTTCAAAAAGATGATGTCAACACGGCAGTCGCCTTGTTCGAATCCAGCATCCAGGCAAAAGCCATAGTTTGTAATGTTTCGGTACTCCATCTTTCCATCTGCATTGTAGGCAGGCTTGAAGCCCAAGATTTCTTCGTAGTACTGGGCCCCAATGTCGATGCTGTCGTTCACGACAACGTTGATGTGAGAAATGGCTGCAATACCAAGCGTCCCGTGGGAACGGATCTTGGTGTCTGGAGCTGATCGATTGCTATTGCGCTCTTGTACGAAGAGAGCTGTCATGGTGCCCCCCCCAAACGGTGGCAAGCACTGTCGTAAAGGCCATGAATACAAGAGGTATCTTAGAGGACCTCGCCGTCGCATTGCTCGGGCTCTTCGGTGTCCCTTCGGGTGTGCCGACTCCATGGTCGAGGGGTTGCTCGACGTCTTCCATTTCTTGATTGATTGTTCTTTGTCTCCTGAACTGTGGATAAATGTTATAGGTGCTGGCTTGGATCTTGTGAGCACTTCAGGGCTGTCGTTGTCTATTCACTGCCAATGCAGACCGGGCTGAAACTCGCTTTATTGCACACCTGTGACTGATTGCCCACGCATCCATGCTGTTTCCAGTCTCCTCGTACTGCAACAGGGGCTCTTCTGAAGAGAGATAATACTAACCTAGTGGAGCGAATGGTCAAGATAGAAGACAGAGCAGGCTAAGACTGGAGTGAATGTCAATCCAAAACCTCTGGTGCTCGAGCGTCCTTCTATCATACAGTAAGAAAGTGGGACTGATTGAAGATTCATTCTTTCCAACAATGACAGCACCTACAGTTGAAAGCCAGAAACTGGAAATCTCGAAGACAGCATGAAAGGTTACTCCAGGGCGTTGGCACTGCCAAGGCCTAATTGATGCTCGAGTAGTTAGTTGGCTGCTGCCGGGCAAGGGTATTTCGTTGTCTGCTTCTTTCTCAACATCCCCCCAGGAAAGAGCAACTGGTCGTTCCTACAATCCCGGTAGAGTTGGGGTTCGAATAAATGACTTGATGAGCAATCGATTGATTCATCATTCATTCGATTCGATTCGATTCATTCAGATCTTTGGATCTTTCTTTTTCTTCGGATCCGCGGTCCAAGCAAGGAGGGAGAACCCACCTCTCGACAAAAGGGAAACGGTTGTGGTCGCTGCCATCACTCTTCAAAGGAACATACTCGTAGTAGTGCCAAACCAGGAACAAGGAAGTCGATGGAAGCTACCGGTATGTTGGATCTGGTCAGCGGACTTTTCAGTGGTGGAAGTTCTTCATGAAAATCATAAGAGAATCAAGTACGAAATGCCAAAGAATCCATACATCAAAACGAGCCCACGTGGGCAAGGCTCAAAATCTGGGCAAAGCTCAATATTCAAACCGTGCTTGATACTTGTTGGCATATTGGTCATTTGCTCTTTTGCCACAACTTATCATTCCATCCTTCTGGGTGATGTCACCAATCCAACGACCCGTCAGACGTTCCCACGTGACAAATCCAAGCCCAAGGAATCCCTGAGGATTTTATTCATAGGCAACAGCATTCTCTTTATGAATGATTCTCCTGGTTTGCTGGTGAGATTAATTGAGGCTTCTGGAAAGTACACTGTCACACATTATGAAACTTGTCTGAAAGCAGGCATGTATCTGAACATGTTTCATTACTCGCAATGCCCCTATCAAATGAGCCAGTCTCGCCAAGATATGACAATGGAGCACCTCTTTGACAACACGACACAGAGCTGGGATTACGTCATTCTCAATGATCAAACCAAAGCTCCAGCATTGCGATTAGAGCAGCAAACCACCAGGGTTCAGATGAGAACCAAATTCGCACAGGAGTTTTGGGATACTGGGGCAACACCAATCTTCTTACAAACAGCTGCATACCGACACCCCTTTGCCGATTTTGGAACTTTTGAACAATTCACAAAATTATTGCATGATGGATACCATGATTATGCCAATGAGGTCACAGAGTGGTTTCAGAAACGATGGCAATCTGATACTAGCATTGGAACCAGGAGACCCAAGGAAGCAAGAGTTTCACCAGTGGGAGAAGCCTATGCGGAAGTCAAGTCCAAAAACGTAGAACTATGGGAAAAACTTTACATGGCAGATGGTATTCATCCAAGTCCCTTGGGGACATGGCTGCAAGTGTGTGTTTTATATGCCACCATGCTAAAGGAGGAACCACCCAAGAATTATCCTGCCTTGTGGATTACTGCGCAGGGAAGGCCCCCACAAGAAGAAGCAACAGAACTGTGGAGTGTGGCCTTGCAAGTGACAGGGATCATGGATGAACAGTTCTATGTGGATCATTCCTAGCCATCCACTACGAGTCAGACACCACAATCCTCTGAACAGGCATGCGTGGGCTGTGGCTCGTGGTGGCTGCGATCTCATGAGGCGATTGCATTGGCTGAATTCATGACTGCAATCGCCCAGCCAAAATGTGGTACAGATGGTGAAATTGGACGTGCTTGATCCGCGCACCGTACAAGCCCATGGCTTTTGAAGTCGTCCGAATTCGCCTCGCTAGTCTGAAGACGTAAAGCTAGCTAGCTAGCTAGATGCTTATCCCGCTACCGGTTGTGATGGAACCCCAAGCCATGAGAAGCCCCCACTGTCAGGATGTATCGTTTAGCTTGGTTGGTGATGAGTGAGCGCACCCTCTAGCTAGAGATAACGGTACGCTTAGGACGACAGTCAAAAACTGTCGAGATAGACTACTTTTTCCGTGGCTCTGAACTGGCTACTGAGTAGCTATCAGAGTCTCGTGGTAGAAGCAACGAAAGCAAGCTGGCAACCAGCTGGAGCCTGTGCTATTGTTTGACATCGTCAGGGACCGGGAGGATAGCTATCTTTGGTGTCACGAACCTAGCTACTAGTTACTGAGTAGTAGCTAGTGAAACTAGGAGCAGTCATTTGTAGAAAGTCCTGGCTTCACCGTAGCTTGGCAGTGAGTGGTCCCTCGTTGGAACCGGTAGCCAGCATACACTTCAGGCAGGAGCGGCTATGTATACCTGTCACATGCAGTGGGGCTATCATAAAACAGGAAGCTGATCAAACTCAGTATGTGAGCTCATAAGGTGTTCAGGGCGAGGAAGCTGTTTGCCAATCTTCCTTGGCCTGGCACCTTGGAACAGGACGAAAACACACAAAAAGTGGGACGTAGCCAGTTATTATGCTACCCATACACCGCAGCTACGCCCAGAACGATCGAAAAAGACTTGAGGTCGACGCAATGCCGCAACTCAAAACCACAACATCCATCCAACTTCTACAATCATCGACCTTTACCGGATTTCTGCAATCATTTTTACAGGATTGGGGCTTGCCCACCCGCAGTCGAACGTTTGCTTCATTAAAATAAAATAAACAAGAGGGCCAAGATCCCCCTTTATCACAACTAGCTAGTAGCTAGAGCAGGTTTTTCTTTACAAATTTGACAAAGGACGCGATTCTCTCCTGAGCCTCGCTTTTCTCATTAGCATTGTCCTTACCGCTTTGGGGGCTCTGTGCTTCGTTGTCCAGAAATACCACAATAGAAACATGTTTGGGTCCAAAGGCTTTGCCCAGCTCTTTGGAGGCCCTGCCTGGAAGGAGAAGAATGGGCAAGCCGCCGCCTTTCCCATCGTTGGACTGCGCGATCTTCTTGGCCATTACTGGAACATGGGAGAGAATGGTGGGTGGATAGATATCCCGGGCCAATACCACCAAGCCAGGCTTCACCGCCAACTCTTCACCAGCCATGGCCTTTTCCAAGGCACGAGTGCACTGGTTGGTGCCAATGATGATCTGCTTGGGCCATGGTGGTCGGTTCACTTCAATGCTTGTAGCTTCTTCCGTCGCTGGAGAGTTGTCCTTCAACGTATTCCGATGTGCCGTCTTGCCGCGATATAAGTCGAATGGTCGTATTATCTCTTTTTCGAGTCGCTCCAAGAATACTTCCTTTGAGTGGTTGGAGGCAACCTCAGTGCGAATGGGTTCACTGCTGCCCCCCTCAGCATCAGCAACACATGCCAAGGAATGACTGTGAAGCCAAGATTTAGGGTTCTCTCTCTTCTGTCGCTTTGTTGGGCGATTCATCTTGCCTAGACACGAAAGGTAGTGCACAACGCTTATTCTAATGCCTCACTCTATCTTGGACCAACACACCCCAGCCTTTGCTGACACTTTCGAGAGCTCTGTCGACTACTTGAGTTTGATCTTAAACTCGGGACAAGAGTAGATGTTGATCAAGGTAAACACTGCCACAGATTGCGTCTGCTGGAGCAGCAGACAGCGGTACTGGTACCAAATAAATCGAACTGGTAGTCGGTAATTGGTAACGTAGAAGGTAGATGTGGTAAAACACAAGTACAGTAGGCTTTTAAAACATTTCTTAACAAAATAACAACTATTGCTCTATTTTACCTCAGCTACTAAAACATTATTGTTTCGGGGAGATTACTGCTCGATTGCCAGTCGGCAGCACGGAAGACACCTAAAGCGTTTAGATCTAAAATGAGATAAGACTCAAGAACTCACAAGGAAGACTAAAGGAGACCGAAAGTCGCGGATTAAGTAGCGACCGCTGGTCATTCCAACACCGCAGCTTAAATCACCGAGGACCACCACGAGCACAAGCAAAAAGGTTTTGGGATTTCGCAACTAAGTACCCCGAGTTGGCGACGAAGTGAAAGGAAGCGTAAACGTGAACCATGAGAGCAGCGATTTAGAAGGTAAAGAACGTGAAGGAGTCCCAGCGGGAAGGGATTGGATGGCCGATAAATCATGCTTGAACAAGGAACTCCCGAATTGTGTTCTTCAACAAGATACAAAATCATTCTGGAGAACTTCATCATTAAAAAGGCTTCCCAACACATCAACTTCAATGCAAAAAGCAAGATCCAGTGGGCTCGTGGGATCTCACATACTCCAAGGTGCTGCTGTGTGACGGGTAGAGGGACGGACTGACAAGCACAACTCAAGGACGCAGCTAACAAGCATCGTTTCACACGATTTTAGCAAAAAGCTTTTGTTTGGACTCTAATCGAAAAAGTACTCTGAAGCCACAGTGTTACCAGATCTGATCGTGATGCATAGAAACACAAGCAAGTGCCAGTTACCTAGGATTGAACAGCCCTACGGTATCCTCAGAGGTACGGATGAAGGCAGCTCGAGTTTATTTTTTGATCGAAGTAACGCAACCGCGCTGGAGATGAGCCTCTTCGGAGAATTAAGCCCCGACAGACAAATCGTGAAATGACCTTGCAAACCTGAATGCTTTGGAACCCAGCAGGTGAACCAAGCACAGTGTTCGTGGAACACTTATGCTGTTGGAAGATGATTATTCGGACCGTCTCCCTCTTTTGTCAATCCTGTAAAGACTTTCGGTCACTGCCCAAAACTGTGTCGAACTGTGTCGAACAAGTATGACTACAGGGAACAATCCTTTAAATGGCTTTGAGCATTCGGATCTTTTCCTTGAGTCGAATCGAGTCCTGTGAAACAGAATACGTCCATTCTGCTGACCTTGTGGTAGTACGGTACTCTAGTGGTCTACTGTGGTCGACTTGGTTGGATGGAGTTCCTTTTATGCCCCTATAGTAATTTATTTAGTAGGAAGAACTCACCTTGTCGAACGTCTTCCTCATCTTTCCTCATCAAGTAAGTGTAAAACATCAGTAGCCAAAGGGGGTCCTGAAAGGCTGTTAATTACATTGCATGCACACGGTACTAGCTAACTGGGTGGGTGGGCAGCTAGCTGGTCGATGATGTGTCTGGCCAAAGACTGCTTTCGTGATGGTGGCCGGCACAGCAGTTAGTACCAGTACTGCAGTAGCACTCAGTAGTAAAACTATGAATAGAATAATGGGTAGATCCTGAAACCCCCAATCCCTTATCTGTATCTCTTGGTGGCACAGCCACAGCAGAGCCAGCCCTGCCAGCATCATAGCTGCCATCCATCTCTTCCATAAAATTTCGAGTGGAGCAGTTTCACAAGGGACAACCACCACAAACCAACCGCCAAACAAAGCAAAGCTATTATCTAGTATTATCACGATTATAACTGACCAACAGCACAAACACAACACAATACAATACCACCATGTTGTTTGAAAGTACCAACGCCGACGATGCCCTCGATGTCCTCAGGGCCATGAGGAAACTGGAAGAGAACGGCTACGCCGTGACGACCGACGAAGAGCTTGTAGAAGAATTCGTGGGAGGTGACCAAACTAGACTGACACCCGATTGCAAGCGTGTGGGAAGATGGCGCGCCAAGATGGTTGACTTTTGCTACGAAGTTGCCGAATACTGCATGAGCGACCGGGAAACAGTGGCCATTGCCATGAGCTACTTGGATCGGTTTTTGCGAACACCTGCGGGCTTGGAAGTGTGCCAGAACCAAGACTTGTTCAAGTTGGCCGCCATGACGTGCCACTACACGACCATCAAGATCCATGAGCCACCCGCCGTGCCACCGGAAGTGATTTCGGAAATGTCTCTGGGAGCATTCAGCGTGGAGCAAGCAGAAGACATGGAGTTTGTCATTCTGCAGTCCATCGGATGGAGGGTCAACCCGCCTACGTCGTATGCCTTTTTGCGTCAATTCCTCTACCTGATACCGGTCGGACTAATGACGGCCGCTACCAAGGAAAGTGTGTACGAAGAAGCAGTGCAACAGTTGGACTTTGCCCTGAGAGATCGTCACTTTGTCAAGGATAAGGAATCGGTGATTGCCATGAGCGGACTACTGAACGTACTCAAGGCCCACTGCGGCGACGATACCGAAAAGTATGTGGCGGTGTGGTCTACTCTCATGAAGAACGTAGAGATGGATTCCAGAATAGTCCTCGCAACACAAGCCAAACTCAAGGCACTCGCAGACAGTATGGAAGCAGATGTCGAGTCCTTCGACAGCACAGGGTCAGTGGACAAGTTCCCTTGCAAACGTCTATTCTATGGACGAAGCAATTCCCTGCAGAGCATCGAAGTTTCATAACCAAACGACCGACATTCATTTGTTTCAATACTGTACTATCATAACGACTGCAATGCAACCAGACAATCTCAATGCATGAGATTACTCGCCCCAACCACACGCATAACTTATAACTAATGTATAACCTACATTCTACCCCAATTATCTCATCTACCATACCTGGGCCAACCAAACCAGCCATGGTCCTTGCGCCATTTAGCTAGCTACCACACCCAAAAGCCATAGGGCTCGCCCCCTTAGCCATCCCAGGCAACAAAGGCTCCCCCTCCCTCAACTTACAAGATCCTTTGGCGACTGGTAGCAAAAGGAGTGCCGTTGAGCTGTCGAGCTACCAGTATCAGCGCGCTTCGATCCCGCCACGACGTGACCTATACCACGGATTGCCCTTGCGGTATGATAGCTAGATCATAACTGTCCAGCTTACTGTACCTTAGTTGTCGAGAAGCTGTCGTTGATACTTGGATGCAAATGACCTTCTGATCGTGGAACATTATATTGAATTCGGACACCAACTCGAACTCCACGATCAACAATAGATAAGCCCTACGGTAAGCAGACATCGTTAATGTCTTCCCGGTCTTTGATTCTTGGGAACATGAAGTGTTCCTGTCGTTCATACTTCTCTTGAAGGTAAAACTAAGGTAAATGCCGGAGAACAAGAAAACTTTTGCCATCGAAACGGCGAAGCTTGTTGACAATTAATTCACCGAGAGTTCGCCGAGGAAAAAGGCTCAAGAATACTTCTCTCGGCGAAACGATACCCTTCTCCCTACTGTGGTTCTTTTCTAATGGCGAGTGTGCGAAGTTGATTGTCTGGACGCAATGCATTCAACCAGCTGAGCTGTGTGATCCTGGTACCAACCACAAAGGCTTGGGGTACCGGTCACGGTGTACGGTACCGGTATCCATGCTGGATACGGTACCAACCCGAGATGGCCACTTACAACCCACGAAGGCCGGCCTACCCACCATACATGAAAGCATGGGGGCTTCGAGTAGGTGGATTATCTACGGAAGCCAGCCAGGGCCAGGCTAAAGCAAAGAAGAATTGAAATTCAGGACTAGCTAGTAGGTTCCGTGGGATCAGGGGCAAGAAATCGAGGACCAGTAGTGCGGGGGCCAAAGGGTTTGGCTTTGCGGGGCATTCGTTTCATCCATTTGCCCTTACAGCACTGGCTAGGAATGCCTTTTGACTCGCAAGCTCCAGCAAGCTGCGAGATGCCACCTGCTTTGAAGGCATTGATAGGAGTTTTAAAAAATGAGTACAGTAGAGCCGAATGCCCCCGCTTTCCGTTGGCTGCACGTTCTGGGGCCAAAGGGTTTGGCTTTGCGGGGCATTCGTTTCATCCTTTGCCCTTACACACTGGCTAGGAATGCCTTTTGACTCGCAAGCTCCAGCAAGCTGCGAGATGCCACCTGCTTTGAAGGCATTGATAGGAGTTTTAAAAAATGAGTACAGTAGAGCCGAATGCCCCCGCTTTCCGTTGCACGTTCTGGACCTCAGGAATGTATCGCTCAAGGTGGGGGTACGAGTGCAGCTCACCTACATGGCACAGAGAGAAGTGCCTCTCAACAAAAAGACCAATAAGATTGGAGATTGCATGGTGTCCATATGGGCCAACCTTTGTATCTGAGATACTGGTCAATTATCATAACACGCGTGGAATTAAAACTATGCAATAGCTACTAGAGTGCTCTTTAAAAAAGTGTTGAAATAGGAACCGGTAGAAAACCAGCCTGCTCACCATCAAGGGACTGTCGCCAGCACTCTCTTTCCGTAGACTCAACATTTTGACTGTGGTGATTTCTTCTTTTCCGGGTTTGGCTCCAAAGGTTTAGGTACTGCTTCACGCTCCATCATATTCCTCACAAACCTCCATTGCAATTCTTCCTCCAAGGTGGAAATCAGAGCCTCATAGTACTCTTCAACTGGAATCTCCACCAAGTTTTCAGGTTTGATGCACTTGACTCCATTATATCCATCCACTGTCACCAGATGTCGACCATTTTGCAAGCCATTCTCACAGACAAGGCCCAACTTCCCGTTCATTGCGGAGCCAGAAGGGCTGATGAGGGCACGGAGGGTTACCCAGGAATAAGCTCTGATTACCGGTAGTTCATTGTCATTGCTGAACGTGCATTGTTTGCTGTCCTGAATAGCTCCGGCTACCTCCTCCAGCGCTGCAGCTTGCAATTGATAGTCATCGGAGACACTAGCATCTGGCCCATCTTTTGAAAGACTCCTAAAGAGCTTGGATGCTTCCAGCAGCTGTTGAGGTGTGCGTTGGTTGATCAAATCTTCAACTTCCTTTGAAATCTCAAAGACTCCATTATGCAGGGCACCAGCGAGAACTTGTGCTCGAATACAAATCATCTTGCTGATCATATGAGGAATTGTATCTTCTCTCATATTGAGTGATTCAAGTGCCTCCTTTGTGGTTCGAATGAGTATGTCATCGTGACGAAACCAATTAGGTATTTCTGACTCTTTTCTTGGGCCATCTGCATAGAATTCACAGAGATGAAAGACACACATAGACCAAGCCCACATCTCCTTCTTAAGACGCATCAGATCCACAACAAGGCCATCTGTGTGATTTCCAGTCAATGCAACAAACGCGCAAGCTTGATTGATTCTTGAATGTTTTAGATGCATTCCGGTTCCATTCCTGATCCAGCAAAGCATTGAGCAAGGAAATAATATGCTTCCGGTCTTCTTGTGTCAAGTTTTTGTGCTTTACGAAACTGCTCTTTGCCAGCTGCGTACTCACCAGAATCCCACTTCCTAAAGTCCAGCCACAATCAATGCATCATAGTCAGACTTCTTCTCCCCATAAGCCTCTCTGCCATGATCCGAGAGACCTTGTTGTTTATCAGGAATAGTATTCTTCATTTCTTGTCCATAAGTTTCATGCCATTCTTTATGTTTTGGCCAGGATTTCTTGTAGCACTTTTTTGAGCAAAAGAGAGCTGGAACAAAGCCTTCATCTTTGCACTGGCGGCATTGTAACTTGAATGGATTGTCAGCTGACTCATCTATCTTGCAGCCACGGCAGACCCTTCTTGCTTTCAGATCTGGTGGTCGCTCCTCCTTGAGTTCATTGAAGAAGTCATTCATAGTTGTTGTGATACACTGTATGTTGCTGATAAAGTCTGGCTAATAAGGGGCTCGTAAAGAGACCACAAAGCAAGGCAGAGGATCGAGTTTAGAAGGTCCTTTCCTGGGACCCACACAAAGCCAATGTCCTGGATCGACGCTCGGCCTTCCTGCAGCTCCTAGCTCGAGCCATGCCAGGATGAAGGCCGATTGCTGCATCGGAGCGCTGGTGGTAACTGTATGGTACATCGGTCTGTGTCAAGAAGGGAGCGATGGGGCAACGGGGAAGCCCCCAACTAAAACGTTTTAGCTCTAGCCCTAATCTGCTTCAAAGATACTCCTTTCCGCCTTCCACTCGTTTCCCGATTTTGTTTTCCGTTTTGGCCCAAAAGTCTTGAAGAAGAGAGGTGGGGCAACACAGCTCACCAGAGACCCAAGACAAGAGCGCTGCCACCCCACCTGTCTTGTCGCCTCAAGAAGGTCAACAAGTAAACAACATGTCAGCAACCGCAGCGATTGTCACGCAAGGCTCTGAGATTCCAGACGGCGTCGGCATTTGGAGCCCTCAGTGGTTCGAAATGATGAAGAACGGCCCGTGGTTTCGACGAGAAGAGATGCAACCTATCAATCCCAGATTCCAGAATTATCACCCGTATGCCTGCCATTCCTGCAAGCGTGGATCCTTGATGGGTTCGAACCTCCTTACATGTACCAGGTGTAACGTTGTCCGATATTGTAGCAAGGACTGTCAAAAGTGCGATTGGAAATTTCATAAACAGTGGTGCAAGGCATTTCATAGTCTCTGCCAAGACGGTTTGCTGAATCAAATTGTCAAGTATGACTCGATCGAAGCGTGGCAGAACGATTCGCCGAACGTGTTGAGTTTGCTTTTCAGCCGAATGGGTGAGGGGATCCTACGACACTCTGTGGAAATTCAAATTACTCTGAGTCAGCCACGCTGCCGCAAATGCTTTCAAGCTGGGTTTACTCTACTAGAGGAGCATGGCAATAAGGCCCAAAAGGCGAACTTGACGCCTTGTCCAATCTGCATGGGCGTGACACTCTGTGATGAGTGCTTGCAAGGAAAGGATGTAGAGAACATGACCATGGAAGAAAACAGCGCTCTCTTTCATAGCCACCGTTGTAAGAACCCCATGCAAGAATGTCACAGCCATCTCTTATCACTCTGCTGTGCAGGAATGATTGTGGAGCAAGAGCATCCCTTGGGCATGCCCTCGGATACAGACAGCCAAGAGCGATGGGTTCCCCGCAGTTGGCGAGAGTACTTTGACAAGAAACGGAGTGATTTTGATCTGCCAGAACAAATGTTCCTCCTGGCACCCGTGCCTGTCTTTTTATCAGAAGCTCATTCGATCAATCTCACGCTACAGTACATTCTGTTTGGACTGTCCTTGCCGGAATTTGCAGCCCTGCGTGAACAAGAAAAGCTAGTGATTCACTACTGTGGCGCCTCGGCCTCCGAATTGAACATGCCGGGAAAGTATGTCGAGTTGGTGCGCCTCAATCCACATTGGACCGAGCTGCAACTCCATTTCATTGGTCCCAATCAACCCGACGGGGTAGCCAGTAAATTGCAGCGTGCCATTGGCATGGAGTCGATCCGTCCTACCTGCAACATTAAAGTCCACGCCCACAAGGGACTCTATCATGATCTGCATCTTGATCCGCCAACGCTGATTGTTTGTCAGAGTTCTGGATTGTCCGACCCGGGCTATACACAAGAGTGGCGTCCTACGGTGGAGCATTTTTTCCACCAGAGCAGCGTGCCAGTGGTTTGGACTGCAGGGTTAGAAAAAGAAATCATGGATGATTGCCAAGTGCTAAGGTCCTGGGGTGCCCATTTGCTGGTGGAACCCACGGCCAATCCGTTTCGTGGACTTTGGCCCTTGCTGGATCCCGGACGGGAGTGTGGCGACTTTTTCTATTCGAATTCCTACTTTGCCGTCATGAAAGGGCAAAGGTAGTAAGAGAGGAGTATGCAATATTGCTTTCATGGGGCAGCAACTACAATGATCTATCTATCATTACATGACTGACTCCAGCCAGATTCAATCATTTGTGGGGTGACCTGCGCACAAAATCAATCAAAGCGACATTCTATAACCAATCGAATCAGGTCTGACTCTCCTCCGTACGGAGTCCTGTTGTATAGGCTGGCAAAGCTACACACGGCTGGCGCATTGGTGCTTCATACTGCATTCTGCTGATCAGTCAGTTTCTTATTGTTGTGTGGTCCGTCGCAACCAATGAATCATGAATCAAGACTCAATGAATATTAATCCCGATCTTTGATTTCGACAAATCCCGGATTCTGTTCCAAGAACCGTCGTCGTTCTCCGGGTCGCTTGGGCAATTCCCCCGGTGGCAATGCCTGTCCCTTTTTGTAGACGCAAATTTTCTTTTTGCGATGGACCGGTGGAGGTCCTTGCGGAGGATCAAAATTGCTCCACATGGCAATGGGAAAATCGCGTTTGGCGCGCACATACCACTCGCGGTCGTACGAGGTCGTGTTGCGAATGTACTCCAACGTCGTGGCCGACAAGGTGTGTTTGAGAATGCGGTCTTTTCCCTTGTTGCGAATTTCGTTGCAGTAGCGAACGTGTCCCAGTTGTTCCAATATCTTGAATGTTTCGTAGGACAAGGCATCGGTGGTTCCGATCCAATCGAAGTCAGTGACAAAGGCATCGTAGACATCTCGACATTGTTGTTGCGTGACGTGTGTTCCGGCACGTCCGTGTTTTTCTCGATAGTCTTCGTAATAGGCCACTTCTGTTTTGAGTGTAAAAACACACTGTGGATTGGGTACGGACAATTCTAAAAAGTCCTCTTCGGTGGCATTGGGTCTCCAGTAATATCGATTGTCGTACTTGGGTTGGGCGTAGTAGAAATTGAAATGAGAGACGGCCATACTGGTGGGTTCTCGTACCACGGTGAAGGCAAAAAAGGGAATATTGCGTAGCTTTGCCATGGCCCTCCAAATCAAGACATCCTGTCGGACTTGTTGGGTCATGTAGGCCGCCGCCTTGCCGGCATGGTACTCGTAATAGACTTTCGTGCCGGGTTCCCAGTTTTCGAGCCAGGAGTACATTTCTCGACTGTATCGTTTTCGTTTGGAATCGCCGTAGACCATGCGATAACGCCAATCGGGATGTTGGGCAAAGGGAGCCATTTGCGACGTTCCGCCTGTTTTGGGAATGTGAAAGTAAAAAATGATAATCCCATTTTCGTTCGGGCGTGGAAGCCGTGTGGAATTGGGAGCATGCAAGCCAGTCGAAGTAGTACTGACAGCAGTTGTCTCTTGTTTTTGTCTTGGAGTAGAATCCACCTCGTTGGTTGTCTCACTACTACTGGATGATGAAGATGCCAATAATAACTGCCGCTGTGCTTCGGGTGGCATATCCAAGAGTTCTTGACTGCTGCTGTGAGTCATACATGGAGCCGTTTTATAGAAGGAATCGGCAATCTCTCGTCCCCATCTCAAATGCAACTGAAGGACCGTCGACGCCACAAAGAGAGTCAACACCAACACATTGCGAGTTGTTGTGTAGGAACGAACACAAGACGATGATGCCGATTGCTCTGGCATGGCGGGTTGAATTTTATTCCACTCTGAGTAGTCCGAGCAGTGTGATGACTAGACTATGTATGGTTGCTTTTGGGTGAAGGGAGACTGCCGCTCTCGACAAACGAGGCAACAAGCTTTTTTTAAAAAAGCCTTCATTCATGAAACCTTGCAGAAAAGAACAAGCAGCCGGAGGCTGATGCCCTCAACTGTCAAAAAGAGATTTGATTGGTCAAATCATTTACCGTGTTCAACTGGACACACTATTGATAGCAAGTCTCTTTAGCCAGCCAGTACGGGCACAGTGGTATCGGTACCCATGGGTCCAGAGTACTGTGTCCAACAGAACACACAATATAAATCCCTATCCTTAACAAGGAAAATGTCCGTTATGTCTTTGGCAAAACCTCCACCGTGTTTATCTGGACACACTAGCGAGTCTGCATAGCCAGCCAGTACTGGTACCCATGCGTAGAAACTACTGTGTCCAACAGAACACACAAGATTAATCCCTATCCTTAACGAGCGACGAAAACAGCTGCAACAAACACACAAACACACACACACACACACACACACACACACACACACACACATACAGCCATAAAAGTGTGAAAGACCCTCAGTCCGTTGAGGGCAAAGTAAGTGAAGCGCGATCAACTTTTTTGCAAAGCTTCCGAACCGAATGACCCCTGGTCCCCCCTCTGGGTTAGGGTTCAAATCGAATCGAGTCGATGAATCGAATCGAATCGAATCAATTTGACCAAGAAAGCGAAGAAAACCTCCCAACTTCCCGAAGCCGAGGAGGGAAGGAGCCGTCAATTCTTCACAGACTACTAGACCCTAGCTAGCTAGCTAGCTTGTTGTAAACAATCAAGAGATGGACGACGGAGCGATTGACTTTCGCAAGCTTCTCAAGGAAGAGAAACGAAAGGCGAAATTGGAGCGACAGCGGCAGCAACAACAGCAGCAGCAAAAGGACGATGCCGTCCAAGATCCATCCACAAACCATGCTGCCGTTGCCACGGATCCATCCATCACAAACCATGCTGCTGTTGCCACAGAGACCAACTCCTCCGACAATACCGGCACTACTAATCAGACGTATTCGACTACAATCATTCGAGAAGAAGACGTGGACGCGTTGGATTTTGAACGGCTGGTGCAAGAAGAAAAGGAAGCGTCTAAGAAACGACAACACGAACAAGCCATGGCCGATGGATGGTCCATTCCCCAACAGCGACAAGTGGATCCAAGACAGCATCTCGTCTGCTCCAATCCACCTTCCATTTTTTATATTCCCAATTTCATGCCACAAGAATCGGATCAACAGGCATTGATGGAGTGGCTGCTTTCCTTGCCAGACAACAATCAAAACAACACTACCACATCCAATCACGAAAAGGAAGCGTCGTTACAGGCCAATGGAACCTGGACCACCATGCACTATGCCAAGCGACGTGTGGCATTGTTCGATGGCACTCTGCAAGTAGGACAATCCACCCTACCACCTCCTCTGCAACGATTTGTGACGGTGTTTTGTCAGCAAGGCATTTTCCCGGTCGAAGAACCACCCAACCACGTCTTGATCAATGAATATTCTCCCGGGCAAGGCATTTTGCCGCATACGGACGGACCGGCATATATCAGTCGCACCGCCACGCTCTCCTTGGGATCCGATGTCCTACTGCAATTCACACCGCGACCTCATCTTGACTCCAATCAACCAACCACACGACAGTTGTGGCTGGAAAAGGGATCCCTGTTGGTATTTCAAGACGCGGCCTATCTCGACTATATGCATGGCATTCAAGATCGAGTACTCGAAGAAACCGTCACGGAAAACTGCTTGAATGCACCGGCAAACACACAAATAATCAAGAGGGGATATCGCATCAGTTTGACATTTCGACACAAACTGGTACAGTAGTACGGTAGTAAGGTAGCAACATAATACATACCGTACAAGTAGGTTTGCGCTTTGGGGTTGCATGTACTGTACTTGATTCGACTCGTACCAGCGTTCTCGATGGCAGTGGCCCATAATAAGGCACCAAGTGGAATTCATCGACCTTGTCCTTTCACCCACTGATTGCATGTTGCTGGTGTACGCTACCTAACTAATATGGATTCTGTAGACGGCCATGATTTTGGAGACGCACCAGTAGGCTTGGGCGGCCCACCTACTGGCCAACTGGTTTGCGCTACCGGTACGACGCCCTGTGTTTTGATCAAACATTTGGCAAGTTGCAACAGTATCAAGCGAGACTTGAGTTGTCGTGCACGCCCGGATCCTTTGCATCCTGCAGGTAAACCAGCTGACATCAAACAATGACAATGAAACTCCCGCAAAAAGCCCAGTTCAGCTTCGAATCGACGGGAGAACAAAGCCTCCTTTGGCAGAACCTCTCATAACAACGATCTCCAGGAGTTCAAGAGACACGCTATCTTTGCAGATGACCCCGCCAACAAATGCTGCACTCGCCACAATCACCTAATATGTCCTTTTACAGTCCAGAAAACCCATAACATTATAGATACTGCCAGCTCGATGCCCAGGTCGAACCCAGTAACAGTACAAACACCAAACTAGATTCCCAAAAATTGCAATGGAATGATCTTATGGATGTGATGCGGACGGTCACCTACAGCATCGACATCACAACAATCGGCAGGCACGAGGCATAGCGAAAAGTAACTGATCTAACCACCAATTGATGTGACCCACGGAGCCACCAATTCTCCAAGCTCTCAGAGCGCGAACCATACCTCTCTTTGGTGCTCTATATCCAATGTGACCCCGTACCGGCAGCACAGCTCAAAAACTGAAACTGGGTCAGCTACCGGTAGCTCTTCCGATCTTTGGAGTTGCGAGTGTTTGTTCGTTTGTACCACTGTAATCTCAAGAGTGGAGTTGTGTACCGGTGTTACTCCAGATAGATGTTCAAGTTGTTACACTGTAAACCTGAATTTAAGAAACTTCTTTCAGCCCGAGCTTTCAGAAAGTATAAGAAACTGTCCCTCCTGTATTTCCCTGTGACCACAAGAAGCCACGGCAGACCTCACACCACATCAACTAGGAAAAGGCTAGACTTCCTTGAAATTGTGCCTTTGATTGCTAAGAAAGTAACACTCTGTGACAACCGAAAAAAAAAGAAATAGTAATGGCCTTCCAGCCAAGAACCCAAGGAGAAACCTAGCCAGGTGGAATTGGGTGGCTTCTTCTTCCAAGGCTTCATGCATATTAAGAGACAGAGGAGGACAGGCAGAATTGAGGTAGGCGCAATTGCTGCTGGCTTGTCCAAGCCCATGGATAGGCAAGGGGCATTGCCCACGCTGCCTCAAGGGGTTCAAAAATGAGCAAGGCCTCAATAGTCAAATGAACTACCAAGCAATACTTTAAACCATCAACGGCAGCCAAAGTTGCAATGGTAAAATCTGGCTGCCCAATAAAAACAAGAAGCCACTATGGTATTCCCAACTGGGCAGGGTACCTAGCATCACTAAACTTCCTCCACAAGGTCCAGAGCAACAGAATACAATATAATTAGTCGCAAAAGATGTTGCAGCGTACGATGGTGGTGAGGAGGAAGCCTCAGAAGGAGATCCTGAGGGCCAAGAGTACTCAGAGGTGGTTGTTACAGACCTCTACCAAAACAAGAAAGCTTGTATGCTGAAATCTACGAGGTAGCTGCTGTGCAAGAAACAATCTGAGGGTCCAAAATGGTGCAGCACTGTACATGTAGACATCTAGGCTAAGAAAACCCCAGGGCTGCACTGAAACTGAATCTTTCTTATAAGAGAGTTTTAATAAAATGTAAACCTCTCCGAAACCTAGGAACTATTATTCTAAAAAATCCTGGCCAATCAGAGGTTTTAAAGGACACCCTGATCTCCTTTAAATCCTGCTTCATCCTACCATCTTTACTCATAATTCCAGAGTTCGCAGCTTTCCGCTCTGACGACATCACACATTGCACAGAACGTGGCTTTACCTTAGAGTTTATTTACACTCCAACCTCGTCAATAGTATAACTCTATTCTTAGTCCAGTACTGGAGGTATCTTAACCGATTCAGCTACAGCAACACTGAGTTATTATCTTACAAGCAGCCCAATCTCGGTATCTTTCATATCTTATAGCCACTACCTGGTAGAAGCTTTTATTACATACCCTACTACTAACCATGCCCTGAGACAGTGAGGAGCCACCACCAAAGCTCAAGAAGGCAAAGGTGCAAAGTTAAAATTGATGAAACCAAAGATTCCGTGGTCGGGAGGCACCCTAAGATGCGTATATGGAGTACTTGGATGTAGATGGTGATGTGGTAGATAGTGGGTACTAGCTGCATTCAATCCCCGCATAGTCTTAGTATTAGCTTAGGATTTGAGACCTCAGTACTCGTAGCTTATCTTACTGGTTTGGGAAATCTGAGTGTCCGGGTTATCTAAACATTTCCAAAAAGTTGAGTACTCGGTATCTTAAACCCACTTATCTTAAGTGTGAGTGAGGAGTATAGTAATCGTGAGTGGCTTCGCGAATTCCAGAACCCAACGACTTAAAACAGCATCTGTACCACTTCCACCACTTCAGCGAGTTTTTTACCACATCAGACAAACGACCCTCGAAAGATCCAACATTCTTTCTGTCAGTCGTCGGATGGCTATCTCTCATCTATCTTTTGAGACAGAGTGGTTGTGTTGCTCATAATATTTGAGGCAACTGGGCAGAAATGGCACCATCAGACTCTCCCCAGTGGCAAGGGGCAATAGGTTCAAGTTTGCAGCTTACGGCGACCTTTTGGATGAATGATTTGCACGTCAGCAATTCAAAGCAATAGCCAACGGCCCACGGGCGACTGTGTCCCCAGAAAGAAACATGAAAGTGCTCACAATTTCTAGTGTCGGTACTTGATCACCCATCGCCACTGCTTTCGCTTGTCTTCTCTGATCAACGAGAAACACTTTTTTGTCATGATGAAATCTCACCCAGAAGATGGCGACACCGCGAGCTTCACCTACGGACCCCCGAGTTCGGCCTCGTTGGGGTCTAAAGACGAAGAACTTGGAAGCGACTCCAAGCATTCCAGCAGCAAGGCGAGAATCAGCCGCATAGCAAAATCGTTGGTGGGCAATCCTGCAACCTTCCTTCGCACTCAAAATGAGAGTCGTGGAGTGCGCAAGCAGAGGACCTACGAACCCAGTCACCGTTGGTAAGTTCAGTGCAATTCTGTGTCCCTGCCTGAAACGAGGACACTGGTATTCCAGTCAGCCTTCTCACATGATTGTCTCTTCTTCAGGTGGGAGCCCCCTCTGAGTTCGTGGCTTCCTCAGTTTAACCGAGAAGTCTTGGTGGTCTTGTGGATCTACAATGTTCTCGTGGCTGTTCTCGCCCGTTACACGGGCCTTTGTGGCTACCCTGCTGAAGACAGCCCGGCCCATAGTTTCTGCGGGGAGGACTGGGTTCTTCTGGAAGATAACGCTCTTGGTGGGTTCGCTGTGGGTATGTTTCTACTCCTTGCCTTCAGAGCCAACCAGGCCTACGACCGCTTCTGGGAAGGTCGCAAGATGTGGGGAAGGACTCGCGAAGTGTGCCGTGATTATGCAAGGCTTGTCTGCAACCACGTTGATTGTGAAACCGAAGATGATCTGGCGGATCGGCGACGAGTTGTTGACTTCTTGACAGCGTACGCGGTCTCTCTGAAGCTTCATCTACGAGATGAAAAACACATTGCAAGAGACTTACTGGAGGAAGAGAATGTCATCACAGAGTCTCTGACACTGAGTTTTCAAGACGTTGCCAACATCCAACAGGCGGCGCACATGCCCACGTACTGCATTGATATTCTATCCAGCTATGTGGCGGACCAAACTAAAAAAGGGAACCTATCAGACTACCAACTGGGTGTCATCAATACTACCGTCTTGGCCGTGCTCAGTGATGCCTTGGGATCGTGCGAACGCATCAAGAACACACCTATTCCTCTTTCCTACGTCTTGCAGCTGAGGTTCTTTCTGATTCTTTGGTTGATCCTCAAACCTCTTCACATTGTTGCTTTTTATGGATGGTACACAATCCTCTTGGCATGTCTGATTTCTTTTGCAGTGCTTGGAATTGAAAGTATGGCCTGCGAAATCGAGGAGCCCTTTGGTTACGATCGCAATGATCTGGATCTGGATAACATGTCCCAAGGACTCTGCAAAGATACTCAAGGCATTCTAAAGAGGCATGAAAGTGCTGACCGTGACAAGTTGTACGACCGAAAGGCTGTCACAGCCCTGGGCAAGTCTCATGACTTCTCTACAAGTTTCCGCCTACCGAGTGCGAAAACCTTGAGAAGCAGCGAAAAGTCCAGGAAAGTCCCTCGTTTCAGCTTGCTTTCGAGTGCAAAACCAGCTTCAAACAATGACGAAGGCTTTGATGTTTGAAGGCAGGTTAGCTGCCGGCCTAGTCTGGACGAAAGCCCTGGCTAGAGGGAATTTCCCGGTGCTTCGATGCGTCCTGGAGCAATTCATGTTTTGCTTTGCGAGAAAGCCCGCAGACTCTATGGGCTGGCATGTCCAATACCAGATAGATATATAGCAACACAACAATCCTCAAAATTGCACTCTCCTCTTTGAACCATGTTGACTTCTCACTGTTGCCGTAGATCCATGGTTGAGCGACCATCTCGGGAACACTTCAAGCTTAAACAGCTACCGGCTGCACTCACCTGCCCCTTCATGGCTTGATCTCAAGTAGATGAAGTCGTGAGCCACACCAGTAGATACTTTCGTCCGTGTCGCATGGTCCTTTCCCTGGGAAGCCCCAGCATCGATCCATCGGGCAGATATCCGTAATGGTATGCAGGATGGTTATGGCCTAGAGTGTTCCGCGCTACTATGCATAGCTGCATACCGGAATGGACCCTGCCTCAGCGAGCAATAGCTTTTGCCACTGATTAGTCTTGGTATTCATGGGTACAAGAAGGTTTGTGCCACCGTGCACGGTGCCACCTCACTCAACCAGCTGCTTGACTGGCTTTTGTTGTTGAGCAAACCATCCCATATCCTGCCATTGGCTACCTGGGTGGCAGCTACCGTATGCCCTCCCCCGTACCGGTATCTTAGACTGAACTCGTGTACGGTACTACCATGTCGTTTCATTGGAGATTGCTGTCAGGTGGAGGGCAAATTCCTATAAATCTCACCTACTAGCTAGCTAGTACTGTACTGTACTCAGCTAGAGCCTTTCGATTGTTGGACTTGTTGGATTTTTAGAATGAGGAAACGCCACAACGCCACCTCATCACAGTTCTAGTTTGGCAAGAAAGTATTAAATCTTACACTGGTACAAATGAGAACGCAATAAGAAAATCTTATGCAGATTGCTATTGCCCAAGGGGCCCGTACGGAAGTCATTTGGAAGCCTATGGCTACTTCGTCATCCGACCTCATAGCCCTTTCCACAAGCATCCCACACTTTGTGCCCATGTATGCATTCATTATAGCCTTTTTTAAGTTACATTAAATGTTTCGTGATCATAATCCCTAATTTACATAGAAGTTCTAATAGCTGTACTAGGTAGGCGACGGGGACGACGTGGCGTAAAAATGAAGTCAAGCCCTCCTGGCCAGGTAGCTGGCCAGGTACTGTACAGCTGAAGTACCGGCCGGTCCATCGTACCGGTACCATTCTCGCGATCGTATCTTCCTCAAATAGTATTCTCACAATTTTTGGCTTTGGTCTTCTCAACACCACGTCCTGGAACCTTGAGCTGATCAGAAATACAAAATAAAGGTTGGTTATCCATGTTGTTTCGAAACGCACTCAGTCGCAGCTTTATTAAGCTGGTTGCTCTTGCTGCCCTCGTCGCGGCGGTATCGTGCAACCAAGTCTTGACTCCAGGAATTCGAGCCACCGCATTGGCAGCGTCATCAGTCCAGGCAGACGAGGGAACTTTGCTTCTCTTCAAGGATGAACGATCACTCGCAGAGGAAGCTGACAATCATTCCTCGCATGCAGAGGAACATGTCGATGAGCACGGACAACATGACGCACATGAAGGCGATGCAAACAGCGATGGTCATGGAGATGGCCACAGTGAGCTGAGCGTTCATGTTACCTACGAAGACATTTGTAAGTGGACATGGTGGTTGCATATGTATGACGAAGACCTTTTCAATGGATACCTAACAGTGGCTCTTCATTGTTGAACTGGGGTTCCATGCAGATGCTATTCTACTGTTTCTCTTGGTTGCCACGGGGGCTGGAATTGTCTTCGAGTACCTTGGCATGCCGGCCCTTGTTGGAGAGATTTGCACTGGTTTCCTTCTGGGTCCACCTCTTGCTGACTTCGTTCCCTACCCAGAAGCAATGGTTCTGGTTGGTAAGCATGTCTTTTGTGATCTGCAACGTCAGTCAGTCTTCCCATCTGCACACAATTCCAACTGACTAACTGCGTTGCTCGGAAACAGGTGAAATTGGTTTGATCCTTCTTCTTTTGGAGGCCGGAGTTGAAATCGACGTGGGTCAACTCAAGCAAACGGGAACTCGAGCAATCTCCATTGCTGGAACGGGGAGTCTCCTTCCCCTCCTTGTTGGATTTGGAATTGCTACCGCAGCCGGTGAAAGCTGGAAAGGTGCATTGGCCGTTGGAGCAGCCTTCAGCCCTACATCTCTAGGAGTTGCCTCCAAGGCTCTTGGAAGTGGAGGGATGCTGAACACTCCCGTAAGTCTGCCAAGTTGTTTTTGGATATCCAAACTACTACGCTTTGACTGCATGCTCACAATGTGCAACACGCTGTCAATGCTTCTGATAGGTTGGCCAACTCATTGTAGCTTCCTGTAAGTCCTTGCACTGACTGTCACATGGAGGATTGTCAAATACGATACACTGACACTTACGCTCACATGGTGGCTCTCCACAGGTGTTATTGATGATATCATCGCTTTGATTATTCTGGCCATGTTCGAAGTCCTCGTGGCGGAAGACCCAGCTATCTGGGAGTTCTTTATCCCCATCATCTCGGCCGTTGGCTTCCTCATCGTGCTTGGTGGTGCTGCTGTCTTCATTTGGCCCAACGTGATTGAGAACAAGATTCTTCCTCGCTTCCAAGAGCAGAACAGGGAAATGGTCATGTTCTCCATCATGTCTGTCCTCCTACTCCTCTATCTTCCTCTTCTAAACTACACTCGAGCTAGTTACCTCAGTGGCGCCTTCCTCGCTGGCATGTCCTTTTCGCAGATCCACTCAGCACACGACAGTTTCATCAAGAACACGCATCAGTTGATGGTGTGGCTCTTGAGGGTATTCTTTGCATCTTCGATCGGTTTCCAGATTCCAATCACCAAGTTCAGCGATCCAGCCGTGATTGGTTGGGGGTAAGTCTTCATCGTGGCAGCGTACAATGATGCAGCATGTGGTTGCGATGCTAACGATCGACTTTTGTCGCCTCCTTGGCAGTTTTGCACTCTACGCCTGTGTAGCCATGAAGTTTCCTCTTGGCTTGTACGTTCCAAAGTTTGACGATGTCGAAGAAGGAGCTTCCTTTAACCCAAGCCGGAGAGACTTTTTCGTCACCGGTTTGGCAATGTCATGCAGAGGTGAATTCAGCTTCATCATTGCCTCGTTCGGTCTTTCGGCTGGATTGATCGGAGAGGACTTCTATTCCGCCGTAGTCTGGGCCGTACTGATTTCGTGCGTAACTTCGCCTTTTGTGCTGCTCAAGACCATAAAATACTACAAGGGTAAACAGCAGGAATACATGGACCAGATGAATCCTTTGCTTCACAAAGAGTCGCGAACTGCAGATGGAAAGATGCCTTTGCACCTATACGTACACATCAACTCTCACGTGCAATGGGGAATGCAAGAGAGGTTCCGCGAGAAGCTCCATGACCTCGGACTGCAGATCGTTGAACACACCACAACTCATCAGCGTGGAGTTGACTCGATGGTCGACACCACGATCTACGTCAGGGACACGCAGACTGAAGTTGACCTTCCAACTATTCAAAAGCAGAGAAAAACCTTGCGTGCACTGGTTCAGTCCACCAGGAAGCTCATTAACTCCCAACGAAACCTTGATGTATCGAATCATTCAAAAATCAGAAATCTCTCTTCTGGAGATCTCAAGGAATTGGCCCAAGCTGACCAGAATGGAATGGATGACGAATCACAACACACCCTGGACGCACTTCGAGGAGAGAAAGAAATCATCGAAGCGCGCGAGGAAGAAGTTCGGCTTGCATTGAGTGAACTCATCCACCAACAGGACGCTGCTGTTACTGTGGAGGAATGGAATCCTTGGGACTGGACAGCAGCCCTGAAAACTCTTGCTGAAAACCACGGCGAGGGAGCTCTCACTCGCCGTCACTTCATGAACCTATTCGATAAGATTGATGCAGACGGAGGTGGCACTGTTGACGAAGACGAGCTTTACGAAGCTCTCGTTGCAGCTGGCGTGAAGATCACAAGGGCTAATCTGGCTACCATGATTGCAATGGTTGATGACAACAACGATGGCGAGGTGGACCGAGAAGAATGGAAGTCTGCTATCGACTTCTTCCTCGAGCAACAGGCTGCTGAAAGAACCTTCAGCGGCTTCATGGGGCCGGCCATGTCGTCTCGTGGGTTCATGTCGTCCGCTAGACAGCTTATGGCACAGGATAGTTCCTCTCGCCGCTTCTCCTCGCGGTGCTTGACGGTACCTGCGCCTGTCGCTGAAACGTCCCGTGAGCTCGATCTCGAGGAGACAGCAGATCTCGAGATCTCAGACGATACGTCTGGTAGCTTCGCTGTCGGCATGGGCATTGACGACTCTGAAAATTCCAAAGACGACAAAGAAGACAGCTTCGGTATGGAAGTTGAGTGCTAGACGAGTACAGTCGTGTACCCGTGGAAAGACGTCCAAATTGGACGGCAATGTGTTTACGTTTATATTCATGAAAACCAAGCAAGCTGGAAATACTACCGGTGCCAGCAGCTGTGAAAGATAAGTTCAGATACTAACTAATAAGGATTTTGCTAGTAAGACTGAATGTGCAACAGTAGGAACATATCCTGGCTGTCTTTTGGCCAGGCAAGTGGGGTCACTACGTCGCACTGAGTAAGCGTTGATGGGCCTTGGGACAGCGCACCTCAATACACATGAACTCTCGCTTTGCTGAGTGGATAACAACTTCCTTGGTACTTGGGCCGTCTGATTGTTGTCATATGAGGCGTCCATGTTGCATTTGAAGCCTCTTCTATTTTCACAAGTCAACAGCTTTGGGAGACCGGACAGCAATCTAGAATCAGCACTCACCCGTTCCTTACGATCACACCTGAATACAAGGCTTCTGAAGCCTGTGGAGGTGGAGGTGTGGGCCCGAGTTGTGCTTTGGGGAAGACATTCTTTGCAACCGTCTGCTTATTGATGGGCAAATTGATGCCATTGGCTCTCAAAGCTGAAGCAAAACCAGAACTTCCACCTCCCACACCAAGTCAAACAAGAAATAGGCTCAATCGTTACTTTCCAATAAAAGCAGTTGATGTGTTGCTTCTTGTTGTTGCTGCCTGGAACCCCTTCAACTGTGTTGGTGATTCTGCACCTGCATCGTCCCCGTAACCAGTGCTACAATTTCCTTGTACCCACCTTGCTTCTTGATTGCAATCCTTGCCATTCCCCCCGAGCTACCATCTCTTGCTAAGGCTCCATGAATCAATTTGACAACTATGTCAATAGCGTCTTGTTTTTCCAAGGGTTGTGGACGACAAGCCTGGTCCATCAATCCGCGGAGTATTGTAGAGTAGTTCCTGGTGCTCCAGCATGCTTCCGGATTGTGCAACCAAGTCTTGCAGATCAACGAACACGTAAGGACGACGTGAGCTTGCTACGGTAAATACGGTATAGCCAAACAAGAAATGAGTTCAATCTCTACTTTCCAACAAAAGCAGGTGAGGTATTCAATCTTGTGGTTGCTGCTGCCTGGAACCCCTTCAACTGTGTTGGTGATTCTGCACCTGCATCTACCCCTTCTTGTGGAGGAGGTACCACAATATCCTTGTATCCCTGTTGATTCATGATTGTAATCCTTGCCATTCCCCCCGAGCTACCATCTCTTGCCATGGCTCCATGAATCAATTTGGCGACTAGCTAGATCAATAGCTTCTTGTTCTTCCAAGAGCTGTGGACGACAAGCCTGATCCATCAATCCTCCGCTGGGTGATAGTACATCATGATTCCGGATTGTGCAACCAAGTCTTGCAGATCAACGAACATGTACGGACGACGTGAGCTAGCTACGGTACATTTACGGGATGCAATGCCACAACCTAGTGCCATGTCTGCCTTGCCCTTTGCCACAAGACGATCTGACAGAGGCGTTGCGTGCAATTTTATGGTTCACTCGAACATCATCGTGTCAGCCGGTCATTATTGTAATGTCCAACAACAGTGACGTCTCCACATCAGGAGGTGATCATGTCCCGCACCGCTCTTGCACATGATGGGCCACTGCCTTTGCCGGTTCACTTGTACTATTAATAGTATCCGAGCTGAGGTAGTGGAGTCGTCATCACTCCTGCAAAGGGCCAAGAGGAGGCCACATCACCCACTCGATTTATTTGGTTTGTGACTGCGCCTGTGTGCTTGGCATCACCGCCATACTTTTTCTAAAGCGCGACTGAGATTCACAACATGGATCTTTTGATGGACACGAGAAAGGATCATGCGGTCTGACTGTCAGCCCGCTTTGGTAAAGGAGGAAATCAAGTCTTTTCAACCAAATGATAGATGTGCGAGCTTTTTTATTATTGTAGGTAAATGTTATTGGGTAGACTTCCAGACGCCAACCAACATGAAAACTATAAAAGGAGCCCAAATGGAACTTCAAGGAGCGAAGGTTCCGGCATCTTCAGAGAACAAGTAAGTGTGGGCCAGCTGGTCGCTGCATGATGCTTGCCGATGGATGGGCTTCAACAAGGACTCGGCTTGACCCCTACCGTAGAACGCTTTTGGGCAGCATCAAGTTTAGTAGATTCGGTAGGTAGGTATGTGCTCTGGGTAGGAGGAGATGATGATGTTGCTACCAAGCAAGGGGCCTCTAGGGATCAGCGATCGCTACCCGTGTTGCTCTGAGCCAGCTAAACTAGCTAAGTATGACAGATCCTGCAACTTTAATAACTAATGTGTTTTTCTTCTAAAGATAATATTAAACAAGTGCAGTGAACTTCCTCCAAAACCGAGATTGGTACAGGCCATGGCGTCAAAAAGAAAGTGTATTCAATTCCTCTGGTCACGTCAGTTCGTAACAACTCCAACAGCTTTGCCTTTGCTTGTTAGCACATTGCTTGTCGATACGACGCGCGCAAAACAAAACAGGGTTGTCAGTCATCCTTCTCCAAGAGGCATTCTTCGTTATGAATGTGTAGTAGTATAAGCAATTCAATTCAATCCTTGCTGGTCCACGTCTGCATGCCATGCCATTACATCATTCTAGTGCGATGGTCGCCGTTTAGAATGATTCCTCTTCTTCCACCAAGAGAGCAGCCGATCGTGGAGAACCGGTCCATCGCAAGGAAGCGGGTCCAACGACTCGTTGCTTCTTGGCAGGATGATGAGAGAGCATCGGTGGTGTGACGCAACGTTTGCGCTTGACCATCACAGTCTGTGTCTGTGACGATTGCAAAAAGGCGACAGCTTCCGACGGTGCTGTGGGCGAACGCAGAGCCGCAGCCGCGAGATGAGACGGGCGATAGCCAACATAAGCACACGGCTGAGATCGAAAGGCTTGATCCAACAGTGTTAGTGCGCGTTTGCGGTGTCGGCGAGGCGCCGTCGTCAAAAAGGCCGTGGCAAGAGGAGGATGAAGTCGCCATTGGAGTGTCATGCAAACATCCATTTCGACAGACTCCCAAGAACTGGGCGAAGAGTGGGTAAAGAATCGGTCGTGGAGATTGGAGAGACTCTTCATGGGCAAGGCTGTGGTTTGATGAATCTTGACGGCCATGTAGAAGCAGACAAGGGCAATGTGACTGACCGTGTAAGCTGAAGAAGCAGTCTTCTTGTTACGGTAGTACTGATGGAGATAATAAGTGGCAATCACCAGAGTTTCACGGTCTTGTAGCGACAAGAGTTCGTAAATGGTCTCGAGTGTGGCCACGGCTTGTTTCATGGTGGAAGAAGAACAACAAGAGGAAGCAGGAGGAGGAGGGGTGACGTTGCGATAATAAACGGATTCTTGTTCCAGCATGGCTTCCAATGTTGTAGTTTCGGAAGCCGTCATGGTGGCTGGAATGGAATGGAAGGAAGGAAGGAAGAGAGCGAGTGTTGTGCTGTGTTTGTCTAGTGTGTCTCTTTTGGTTGTGAGTCAATCAAAAGGGCGTCTTGGGCTTTGATGGCTATGTCGTTGAAATCAGATATTCGTGGTGATTTTGGTTGGACAAGCTGCCGAACATTTCTGTGATTTCTTACTAAAAGATAAAGAAGAAAGGGATAAACTACAGACACTGGAATTCACTACTCTTGTCAATAGATAGTGATGCAGTGTTTGCAGTTTGCAAGACGGGTTTGGAGAGAGTGTTGGTGAGAGGGTGGGGTCGTTTGGGTTTGTGTTGCCGAGAAAGACAAGACAAAGAAGTGTGAAAGGCGAAGGAAGGCAAATTTTTGGGTTTTCGCTTGGATGTTGGTCTTCTCGATTGCCTTGTTGCTTGCTCGTATCGTACTGTATCGTAGCCTGAGCACGTTCGTATGCACAGCCACTTGACTCGACTCACTCGATTAGTGCAGCGTTGAGTGAGTCAAGTCAAGTCGCATGCAGGAATGATGGCCTGGCTTCCCCGTTGTACGTAGGAATCAGTACTGCACTTCCAAGAACATCGTGAACTAAAATTGTGAGGAGATTGAGATCGCCATCCTCCCATCTCGAGACCCAATCACAAGCCATCCATTTGCGAAAGAAAAACGGCGAATTGGGTCAGGGCTTACCGGTTGTTGCTGGGCTCTGCTTTGCGGTGGCACCTGGTAATGGCGTTCACGCCAAATGCTTGCATCGCGGCGGCAGGAAGGATCACCATTGGCAGAGGTGACGGAATTCTCTTGTCAAAGAAAACATAGATATCGCTTCGATACAGTGTACCGGTAACGGAAAAGATATCCCCCAACCAGATTGATTTTCTCGCTTCTCTTCCTTGATCCTTTCGTGCGTTGGTTGCCTGGATTCTTTTTCACTTGATTTGACACCACCAAGGGAACAGGAAGAAGATAACAAAGAAACCGGTCACCTTGTGGCAACCTTGGTCTACTGGCTACTAGCTAGCTAGATCCTTATTGGATCTTGATACCCAAACCAGTGTCAGCCGGGTATCCCATCAACCTTTTTAATTTCGGCAGGGCAATGGTGGAGGGCCGTCCGCAGCTGCATCTTTTCTACCTGTTCCTACTACTACTAGTATGGCCTAATGTGGTGATTGCCAATAATAATAAGAATGATGAAGTCCGCATGGGCACTACCATTGTGGCCTTGAAGTGTCAAGACGGAGTCATTGTGGGTGCCGATACACGCACGTCGACAGGTTCCATGGTCAGCAATCGATTCGCCCACAAGTTATCCATGATCTATCAACAAGGACCCGTCTCGTGTGTCCTCTGTCGTTCCGGCAGTGCGGCCGATACCCAATTCTTGGCCGATCATGCCCGATGGACATTCGACAACGATGCAACCACAGATCGAGTGAGCGTGACGCAAATGGCACAGTGGTTGAAATGTGTCATTCGAGGCAATCCACGGTACTCGGCCAGTTTGTTGTGTGTGGGATACGATCCCAATACGCAAGGCAAAATCTATTCCATTGCCCAATCTGGCGCCATGATGGAGGAACCGATCTATGCGGCAGCTGGGTCGGGGTCCACGTATATTTTGGGATTGATGGACGAGGCTTGTCGTCCACAGCTCTTGAAAGAACAAGATGCGATTGATCTAGTTGCCAAGTTAGTTCATGGAGCCATGGCCAGAGATGGAAGCTCTGGGGGAATGGCAAGAATCACAATCATGAATCAACGGGGATACAAGGAAATTGTGGTACCGCCACCTCAAGAGGGGGGCGATACAAGTGCAGAATCACCAACACAGTTGAAGGGGTTTCAGGCAGCAGCAACCACAAGATTGAATACCTCGCCTGCTTTTGTTGGAAAGTAGAGATTGAACTCATTTCTTGTTTGGCTTGGCCTGGTGGAAGTTCTGGTTTTGCTGAAGGTTTGATTTGAGAGCTAGCTAGGGAAATCAATGTGCTCATCACTAAGCTGCGACGGGATACAGCTTACAATTCAGCTTTACAGCTTTACTATTTGCAGGCTTATTCTAGAAAATAATCAATAACTGCTCACTTATTTAGAAATACAAACTTTACATCTCTTAGATCCTTAGACTAGTCAATGCACAATGGTATTGTCGCATGGTAGCATGCGAGGTTATGAGATGTTACTCATTCTTATTCTTATACGTCTACCCCTTGTTATCATCAGTGGTAACCCCTTTTCTCGACTGGACTCGCTCGCAAGCAATCCCCTCGTCGATCCCCTGGATTCGCTCGAAAGCAATCCCCTCGCTCTTACTCCTATTGACGATCGTAATCTCAATGAGGATCCTATCTTGGATTCGCTCGAAAGCAATCCCCTTGATTCGCTCGTAAGCAATCTCCCATCTCCTATCGTCGATCGAAATCGAAATCGCGATGAGGATCTTATATTAAACGATGGACTCCTATGGGAGTCCACCCTTTTCGATCACGATCAACCGAGCGCTAAAGAAGTCGCTACTAATACTGTTACAGCTAACGTTACTGCTGTTGCTACTGCTGTTATCTCTATCACCGGCTGTATCTTCGGCAAAGCATTGCCTCATCCCATCATCAACGTCGATCGATCGATCAGGCGAGTTAACAGAATTTATCGAAAAATGGGCTCCGACTGGATATGGAAGCCTCGGATTGTGTGTCATGCCTTGAGTCATGCTTTACCTCGGCAGGTTAACTGCCTGAGTCCTCTACCCCTTTAATGGCAAATATTCTGTCTGTGGGATCCCCTTGTTTTGTGTCTGTGGGATCCCCTCGTTTTGTGTCTGTGGGATCCCCCTCGTTTTGGTGAAGCCAGGGTATAGGGTCAAGATTACATCGTTGCCACTTGCTGCAGCGCCGCAGCCATTGATCGACTCTTGCCACTTGCCACATCGATCCATGCCACTTGCCGCATCGATCCATCGATCCATCGATCCATCGATCCATCGAACCAACAGCCATCGATCTCGACAATAGACATCAACCGCATACTACTAGTAAGCTCAACAAGCACCAGCCAGCTACTTGTACAGCCACCAGCCATCCAGAGACAAGGACCATTCATCAAGGCACCAACCGGGGTGACAAGCAACAAGCAACCATGCCTGTCAAGTACGGAACACCTGCTTACCGCAGGAAGATTGAAGCCAATCGGCGATCCAAACAGAAAAAGCAGGCACAACAAACAGATGAGGAACGGCAGGCTGAGTTGAAAGTCAAAAGAGAATTCATGCAGAAGCATCGAGAACAACAATCTATAGAAGAATATGAGATTGCCAAAATAAAGGATAGAGATAGGAAACAGATCCGCCGCTTAAAGAATGAATTCTTCGATGCTGAAGCACACAATTTCAACGAAAAACAGCTCTGGATTGATCGAGCTTTGGAAATAAACAAGATAAAGGCTCAGCTGAAGATGGAGCGACAGCAGCTGCAGAAGCTACGTGGTGTTGAAGACCTAGAGAACTCTTTAAATAAAGGATGGCTGAAAGCTCAGCTTGCAGAACTCACAGAACAGGCAAAGAAAGAACGCACAATCTTAGAGCATGATTGGGACGAAAGGGTACAGAAACTCTTTGGCAAGGATCCTGGTTTCTTCCAAGCAGAGTTCAGCATATTTCAACATACGCATGATAGAAAGAAGATTGCGCAAGAGAGGAGAGATAGTGCAACGAATCATGATCTACAACTTGAGTGGGTTAAAAAATCACTCGACAAAGCACGTTGTGCCCGCCATACTCTGCGGTGGCGGAGAAATGTATTGCCAGGGATTCTCGAGAAATATGGCTAAATGAAGGTATCGTGTTATTGTGGATGTATTAGCAAGTGGTCTACCTAACAATCCTCGAGATTCTCCTCTTTGTATTCCAATCGTGGGTTTGCTCTAATATTATAGATCAGCCGCAAGTTGCTTGCAGGAGGGTGGTCGTCCTTCTTCTATCTGTCTTTCTGCCGAGGTATCGCAGCTCCCGCTGACTTAATTACCTACTATTATGGATTCGAATCGCCTGAGCTTAAGTCTTTTCTTGAGTCATGCTTCGGGTCCTCACTTTTTCATTAACTCGACGGAGACGCACACTGATGTACGTGATGTTGTTTCGAACGTATCCATCGCTCGTGATACTATTCGAACGATCCATGCGGTTGGTCTTTGCTTACCTAGGACTGGCATTGGTCGTCTCTGGCTCGCGGTTGGTCGTTTGGATTGGCTTGCAGTTGGTCGTTTGAACGAACAGTTTCGTCACGAGCGATCGCTCGCTCCGTACGATCCATCCCTCGAGTGGTTTGAATTCAAACAAAGGGGATTCGCTCACGAAGGATTCGCTCTCAGACCAAAACAAAGCTCAAAATCCATCTTCGATTGACTCGATTGATTGGATATCACTGCTCTCCTCCTCCTGTTGCCATTGCTCTTGTTGCCATTGCCGCACTGTTGACCTTGTTGATTTTCACTGCTCAATTCCATCATCTATTATTGATGGACCTTGACGACGCTTCCTCTGCTCAGCATCTTCATCTTCAACAGCAGCGCCAGCATCAGCATCCTTGTTCAGTCACAAGGCTTCAGACAAGCCTCTTTGAATTGATCCATCATCCACCATCTGACCTCCAAACCATGACTCAGCACCATACCGCAGTTCAATTCCAGGAGCTCCTCCAGCACATTGGAAAACCAAAGAGAAGACCAGCTTACAGAAGCCCTCGGCTTGGAGGTATCAACCACCTGGAGCCTGGACAGGATCTGGTCAGATGGACTGGGAAAGGAACCTAAAGCACCCTATGCCTCAGGGGTTTCCATGGAGACGACCATCTAAAACATCACACTACACTCCAGCCCATTGAATGGCATGCAAGAAAGGACTGAAGGATTCCCCAGTCTCCTATTCTCGACATTGACTGAGTCAAATGCCTCTGGTCCCATGTTTTAGCCTCTCTCATCGCCTTTGAAAGCGATAAAGTCTAGGAGCGAGAGCTCTGGATCCTCGGAGATAGCTCCAACAGCTATGCTGGCCTACAGCTCCAGCACCACAGCTGGCTTATCTCCAGCAAAGCAGCAAGAAAGGATCGTCCTTTCCACCATAGTTAAGAAAATAGTACGAAAGATTGAGACCGATCCTGATTAGCTTGTAGCCCCATTGAGTACCTGTGAGGCGGCAGAAGCAGTAGGAGTAGCAGATATAGTAGCAGATGTACTTTCCCAGACTGCCACTGCACGATGGAATACGAAGGCCCCAGCTCCTGAGGAGAGCGGCCCAAAGGGTCCAGCAGAGATCTGCTGCCCTCCTGTCTACTGACAGGACCAAGTCCTGGTTTGGTGCCTACTGGAGGTGTTGGAAACTCCTGAGGCAGACAAGGCTCCCTGAACTGCTGACTACCGCTGTCCTGAGGAAGGGTTTCAGCGAGGTCCAGTCCACTACTTGGGTATTGGAACTGATCCTTCCAGAAACTTATTGGATTAACAGTCAGCATAGATTTGCAGGCAGTTCTAAGGGAAGAAGAGACCTCCTTGACGAGAAAAGGATCTCTTCGAAATACAACAATCAGTGCTACAGCTACAGTTAAATTCATTGAATTTCATTGGCATTTTGAGGTGGTTTCAGGCCCATTTTGAAGTCCTAAGTCAACAACCTTCTGATCGATTTTGATAGTTCCAGCCACCACCACAGTGACAGGAACTTCTTGTTGACCATCTACCAACACAACTACAAGGCCAACACCATCATTGTCACCTCGAAAGGACCTACATTCCCAAGCCAATTGACACAACTCCATTGACTCCTCACTCGAGGCTTCAGTCGGATCAACACGGCAAAAGAGCAGCCAATTCACTCGAAAGAAGAAGCAGTTACGGTGAAGGGTGAAGGAACAACCTGGAGTCTCCGAGTGAACGAAAGACTTATTGCGTTCACACCTATCTGGGCCATCGAACAAGACTTTTACGTCTCATGGAATTTGACTGTTTATCAAGCGCAACAGCGCTTTATCTCTTTTTGCCGTCTGTGCAGTTTTCGAGTGTCACGAGTTTCTGTCCTGTACTGGCTTCAGGGATTCACGGACCGTCGGAACTCTTACGATCCACGAACGTACTGACGTACTACAAAAAAGCCGCTCAGCCAATCAAAACGTCCTGCAGTTTTCGAAGTTCACCGTGCAGTTTCGAGTGATACGGTACTTATTACGAGTGCACTGAGTCAGTCCGTGAAGTCCTCTTTGATCCCGGATTTTCGAAGTGTTATTTCACGAGTTTCCGTACCGGTTTCGCGCTTAACGTTCAAGGTTCCCTGATCCGAAAGCAAGCTCAGCCTAAGTAAGCTCGCTGCGCTCACATTTTAAAGGTTTTACACCGTCGAGTCATTGAAATCGCGATCCTTCCGTACGGAGCGACCAACCTACCGCAGACGACGCAACTCAAGGTATCACGAGAGGACGAAGAGAGCAATTCTCTTGGCTAAAGTTACCATTGAACCGCCATCCTTGTTTAGTCAGTGGGTACTCACCTCAGTACAAGCAACTTGTGCGGGGAGATTCATTGGCCCAAGTTGCCTGGATCCTCAGTGGCAAAATCCCACAAACCAAGGCAGTTTGCAGCACCACAGCAATTCAGGAAGCAGGTTCCAGCCCTTGTACCTGGTCCACCTTATTCAACTACACCTAGATGATTGAATTTTCCAGGCCCATAGCAAGGTTCCTGGAGTCATCTTTGTGGATTCCAGATTACATTGAGCCAGCCTTTATTGCACTGCAACAAGAGCTGAGATCCAGTGTTCCACCAAGTACAGCCTACACCTCTTCCTTGTGCAACAACAAGAGGCACAATGTCTAGCTACACCGACCAATGCTGGTGCCACTACTCAGACCGATG